AAGAAAAATAAAATAGAATGGATGTCAGAAACCCAAAATTTTGGAAAACTATCGGATAGCCCATCTTGACTCCAAAAATATTATAACCCCCCTCCTCTTACCCCAAACACAGGGATTATTAGAAAACCCCTTCTTAAGAATAAAGCTTAGTAGAAAGCCCTTTCTTACTTTCAGATTTTATCATATAATCCTTTTTACTTTGATATTTTTATTAAAAAAGTTTTAACTTTGATACTTTATAAAAAATCCCCTCAATAAAATCTCGAAGTCCTTTTGCCTGATAAAGGGGCTTTTCTTGTACCTTCTATACTTAAAAGGATGAGTTTTCTCATATTTTCAAAGTTAATGGGGGTTATCTGATAGTAGCCTCAAGTTAAGAGGGTTTTATGATATTAAACCTATAAATATCATTTTTAAAGACTTGGGTATGGTTTTATGATATTACCCCTCAAATGACAAAAATTGCTCAATTGTCCCACAAATCCTAATGTTATTGCAATTTGGTTTGTCAATGATGAAAATGCCCTCATCTACTATATTTTTTAAAGGGTTATTTGCAATTTGGTATTTTAAGAGGGTATTTTTTACATGGGGGTATCTAGGTATTGGTCCCTCCCTCAAATCTTTAGTAATGCCATATTAGTCCATGACATCTAAATAATTGCTCATTAGTCCATCAAATCCTAATGTTATTGTAATTTTGTCCTTCAATGACCAAAATGCCCATACCGGTAACAAAAATACCCTCATCTATTGTTTTTTAAAGGGTTCTTTGCAATATTCCATTCTAAAGTTTACACTTTTTAAAGCTTTGATATCCACTATTTTTAAACACTTTGACACCCTAAAATTTACACCTTTTTTAACTTTGATACCCCCAAACCTTTTTTAACACTTTGATATTCCAAAATTATACATTTCTTTTAATTTTCATACCTCAAAAGTTTCAAAATTTTTGTACTTTGATACCTCAAAGTTTGCATATTTTTTGACTTTAATACCCTAAAGTTATAAAAAAGTTAAAGGTGTCAAAGTGTCAAAAATAAAACTTTAGGGGTGTTAAAGTTAAAAAGGTAGAAACTTTGTCTTAATTAATTGTGTCAAAAAACCTTTGAGGTGTCAAAGTTAAAAGGTGTGAAGTTTGGGGTAACAAAGTATCAAAAAGTTTGGTATTAAAGTTAAAAGGTGTAAACTATAGATTACTGAAGTGTAAATAATCTTTTACTGAGCAAGATGAGTACTAAGAGGTAAATCATGACTAAGAGTTATTTTCCTCATTGGAGGACCAAATTGTAAGATCCCTTAGGATTTAGAGGCTAATGACCAATTATTCAGACTTGAGGGACTAGTATGGAATAATTGAAGATGTGTGGGGCTAATTTTCTCGAAAACATTTCTTTCTAAATCAAATGGCCAATATTTGTTTTGGTCTTTCTCTATAATAATTTATGTACATACCCCAAATAAAGTTAGAAAGGTAGAAACTTTGTCTTAATAATTTATATCTCCATATATCGGGTCTGAACTTCCTTTGGTCCCTAAACCCTCTCCTCCAATTTCCATTCATTCTGATTCTAGATCTACCATAGAGCTTCTAAAGCAAGTACATGTAAATAAAAAACTCAACAGACATATTCAAATAAGATATAAATCTGTATAACGCCTGATAGGCAAAGTTGTGATCTTAGACTTTGTAAAGTCTGAGAAGAATCTTGCTTACCCTTTGACTAAGGGATTATCCAGGAGTGTAGTTCTGGATTCATCGAGGGAGATGAGATTAAACTCATAAGGGAGGTCACTAACAGCGGTAACCTAACCCTTATTTGGAGACGTAGTCCCAATGTTGGTTCAATGTGGTAGAAACAAGCTAAACTAGTAACACTCGTGTGGAGCATCGATCCAGATATATTCATATATCATTATGTAGCATGTGCTACTACCTCTCTATGATGACAATGCTCTTATGATACAGCTGGTTAGGCTGAGTTTTACTGTTAATAAGTCCAACGCGTGTATTACGGAGGGTATGATATCCAGCTGTAGTTTCTTTGGAGGACTTACCTACGTGAGAGGAACTGTGATGTTCGCGGTTAGGGGGATGAGCTAACCCCTAGAAACTCTCATGAGTCGGTTATTGTGAGCATGGCCTTTAGCTCAACCCGCTTTGCTCAATAGATGAAGACGTATTGTGTGTGTGTTTTCGTTAATACCTGGATCAAGGGGCCTAATTTAAGACCTAGTCCATTATGTCTCTCAGGTGGCGATGAACTCACTAAGGAAAGGTTCAAAGCCGGAAGCTACCTCTCCTGAATTCACGATACGAAAGGTTGCCTAACCTATATTTTTTTTGTGATTTATTTATTAATTTTTAGTTTTCAGTTAAATATTACCTTTTGGGGGGACTGTTAGCTATGGTGTTTGAGAAAAGGCAATTTTTTTCTTTGTGAATAGTCTCACATTGGAAAGTGAATTGGATTGTAAGTGGTTTATAATGGAATACTTCTTATTGGATTTTGAATAGTGTTTTTGGGTTTTGTGGGCTTTGCATAACACACATACGTACGTGCGCGCACGCACGCCACTCCACACCTCGTTGTTACGCGTGCGAGCCACGTTGCACCGCACACGCATGCCGTTTTGCCTCTCAAGCTTTTATTTTTGCACGTTTTACACAAGATTGTAACGGTTTTGAGAATTATGATATCATGGTAACGGGTGCGAGATCTTTGTGAAACATGCGCAAGTTATTTTTCTCCCGACGTAGTAGTTCCGTCTAATTAGGGTTTAAGTGAGAATGCACGCATTTTAGATTGTTAAGTTTAAATGTTGCTTATATTTCGAATCGGAAAATTAATGATACGAGATGTGTATGTGAGAGTTTTCTTGTTTGGATTACTCCCTTTTTGTGCTTTTCTCGTATTATTAATCTCTACGATGCGACTGCAGAATTTCGAGGACGAAATTATTTTTAGGGGGGGTGAATGTAAAACTCCCAAAAAAATTCATGTTAATATAATTAATATGAGATTAATTATGATTTATGAATATTTATTTTGATAAATATAGTTAAATGGTCTATGAGTATGATACCATGTATTTTAAATATGAACGAGTTCATATATGAGAAAGAAAAGAGTCAAAACATGCACAACGGCCAAAAACATGAAAAACTGGAAAATTCCAGTCCGGTCGACCATCACGGTCGACCGTCACGGTCGACCACCGTAACCTGCACAGACTTGTTTCCTATTTTGAGTTGGTTTCGGTTTTCTAAAGCCCATATCTGTTTCCTGGTACATATATATATATATATATATATATCATATTTTCACGATATTTTCAGTTTTCTAATAACCCTAATAGCCACCGAAACCTCTTTAAACCCTATTTTGATTCTTGGAGAAGTTTGGAGGCTTTCAAGTGGATTTTCACGGGATTTTTGGCGTTTGGCTTGTATATCTTCTTTGGCTTAGCTTCTTAAGCATTTTTCTACAAACCCCAGGCGAGTTCATCTCTACTAATCCCCCTCCTTGTTTTTAAAATGTTTTTAAAGAGCTTTTAACATGTTTTATAGAGCCAAATTGACTAGTTTATGTATAATAGTCAATTATTTGTATTATATGTATAAAGACTAGGTCTTTACATGTTAAAAAATTTGAGAACGATTTTTACAGAAGTAATTAAGATCTGAAAATGATTTAAAAGTGGTTTAAATCTGATGAAAGATGATTTGTGCTTTATTTCAAGTTCATGTGCAAGAATTAGGGTTTTTGATATGAACTTTATGCAAATAATCATGCTATATATGTTGGATTTGTTCCCAGAAGTTTTTATTTGTTGTAGACAAGTTTTCATGCAAGTTTCATGTTGTTTTAATCATGTTTGAATCACCTAAACACGACATGAACATGACACACAAAACCAGTCTGAGAACCTGTAATTTTTAGCCCACAACGATCGACCGCGCCCTAGCGGTGGTAGACTGTGTGCAGGA